CACCTGAGCCACAGGCACCGAGCCCTTGCTTGTCTTATTTGTCTGGTCAGGACTGGGATGGAAGTTGTTTCCCTGAAGGGTAAAATACCTGATGTGACCTTCCCTTGAAGCCCAACTTACCTTTTTTGGTTCTGGGAGAGCCTGCAAAGCCACTGAATTCCATTTCTGTATTCCTGCATTGGCACGTTGGGAAGCAGTGCCATTTAGTGGCAGATCTCGGCACTGCATACTTCCCTAGAGTTGTCTTTTTGTTGTTGTTGAGACAGAATCTCAGTATATTACCCTTGGTAGAGTACCCTGACGTCACAGCTCACAGCAACCTCAAACTCTTGGGCTTAAGGGACTCCTCACTCTCCCAAGTACCTGGGGACTACAGGGGCCTGCCACAATACCCAGCTATTTTTTGTTGTTGTTGTAGTTGTCATTGTTTACCAGGTCCCGTCCAGTTTGAATCCGCCAGCCCCAGTGTATGTGGCCGGCGCCCTAAGCACTGGGTTATGATCACTGACACCTTAGAGTTGTCTTATTGAGAGTGTCAAAAATCTGTCACTTGAGGAGTAAGATCACGGCAATAGTTGTTCTGTGGTTTTATGGCAGTGCTAGGCCTGGGCCTTCAGTTTCCATACCTCTGTCCTGGGCAGTGCCTAGGTTCATGAATATGAAGAGAGTTCAAAAAAGTTATATTCAGGGTGGCACCATATACCAGAGGTGGTGGGTTCAAGCCTGGCCCCAGCCAAAAACTATTAAAAAAAAAAGTTATATTCAGAAGTTTAATGGTCCCAACATGCAAAATCCAGTGAAGCCTTTAACAAAAAAGTTGGAGATGGGGCTTTTTCTTTAAGACATTATAGTCAGTGTGTGTAGGCTACCTGAAGTGGGAGAGTCCTGCCTAAACCTTATTAACTCTGCCCCTAAAGCCTTGTGTATTTTTTTTTTTTTTGCAGTTTTTGGCCAGGGCTGGGTTTGACTCTGCCACGTCTGGCATATGGGGCTGGCGCCCTTAGAGCCACAGGTGCTGCCCAGGCCTTGTGTACTTTTTATATGGCCACCACGGGCCCACTGCTAAATAGGATTTAGGAAGGTTTTTTGCAAATCGCTCTAAAGCAGTCACATGGATCTCATTTCAGTTTACAAATTGAAGCTTTGCTCTTCAATAAGTACTTACTGGTTACTTGTGGGTTAGGCACAATGCTAGACCCTGGAGATATAGCTATAACCAAGACATATAAGTACCTGCAGTATACATCAGGAGACTGAGTAAGTAATTGCATAATTAGTTTAATTACACTTAGAAGAAGTGCTGGGTGAGGACCCTGCTTATTAAATCATCTGAGATCTGAAGTATGAATAGGGATTAATTAGTTAAAGGAGGTGAAAGTGGGAATAGCTTTCCATTAAAGTTCAACAGCTTGACTTGGTTCCTGTTTCACAGTGGTAATGAGCCACATGCACCGAGGTTCGCAGGTTGTAGCCTGGCCCAGACTTGCCAATCAACAATGACAACTGCAATAAGAAAATAGCCGGGCATTGTGGAGGGCGCCTGTAGTCCCTCCTGCTCTTGGGCTTGGGCGATTCTCTTGTCTCAGCCTCCTGAGTAGCTGGGACTATAGGTGCCCTCCACAACGCCCGGCTATTTTTTTGTTCCAGTTTGTCCGGGGCCTGGTTTGAACTTGCTGCCTTCATTATATGGGGCTGGTGCCCTAGTCACTGAGCCACTGCTGCCGCCCTATCTCTCAGTATCTTACATCAAAGTTCTTTACATACAAGTACAGTCTCAGACTCCTTTCAGCCACTGGTTTATGGTCTTCAATGGAAGAGGGTCTATTTCACACTGGCATAGGAAAAATGAAATTTCGTAGTACTGGCCGGGTGCAGTGGCTCATGCCTATAATCCTAGCACTCTGGGTTGATGCCTGTGGCTCAGTGGGTAGGGCACCAGTCCCATACACTGAGGGTGGCAAGTTGAAACCTGGCCCAGGCAAACTGCAACAAAAAAATAGCTGGGCGTTGTGGCAGGCACCTGTAGTCCCAGCTACCCGAGAGACTGAGGCAAGAGAACCTCCTAAGCCTAGGGGTGGAAGGTTGCTGTGAGCTGTGTGACATCATGGCACCCTACTGAGGGCAATAAAGTAAGACCCTGTCTCAACCAAAAAAAAAAATCCTAGCACTCTGGGAGTCCAAGGGGGGCAAATCGCTTGAGCTCAGAAGTTTGAGAACACCCTGAACAGGAGCAAGACTCCGTCTCTAAAAAACAGCTGGGCATTGAGGCGGGCTCCTATAGTTCCAGCTACTAAGAAGGTTGAGGCAAGAGAATCGCTTGAGGACAAGAGTTTGAGGTTGCTGTGAGCTAAGACATTAAGGCACTCTATAATAGAGGGCGACCAAGTGAGACTCTGACTCAATAAATAAATAAATAAAATTTCCTCATTGGTTGAGATGTTAACTTTTAGAATGTTTTCTTGGCTCGATACCTGTGGGTCAAGTGGCTAAGGCGCCAGCCATATAACATCTAAGGTGGCAGGTTCAAATCCAGCCTGGGCCCACCAAACAGCAATGATGGCTGCAACCAAAAAATAGCCAGGCCTTGTGGCAGGTGCCTGCGGTCCCAGCTACTTGGGAGGCAGAGGCA